ACTGTAGTTACCCTCCTCTGGATATTCTTCAGCTCATCAGTATCCTTAAATGTTGGTGACTAGAACAATATACAATACTTCAGATCAATTCTGATGAGGGCAGCGTAGAGACGAATGATCACCTCCCCATTCCTGGAAGTCATATCTTTCTTTTTTTTTTTCTGCTTTGGCTAGGCAATGGGGTTAAATGACTTGCCCTGGGTCACATAGTTAGTAAGTGTTATGTGTCTGAGGCCGGATTTAAACTCAGGTCCTCCTAAATCCAGGGCCGGTGACATATCTGCCCCAAGTCATACATTTCTTAACAGCCCAAGAACACATTAGCTTTTTCTTTTGGCCACCACATCACATTACTGACTCACGCTAAGCTTACAATCCACTAAAATCCCCACTTTTTTTTTAGAATACTAGCTATTTACCAATACCTCTTCTATCTTATACTTCTGAAGTTGGGTTTTCTTTTGTACTTAAATTATTTTACATTTATCTCTATTATACTGTATCTTATCATATTCAGCCCAGTACTCTAGCATGTGAAGATCCTATACCTGTCAGATTAATTTCATCTGCAAACTTCATGAACATACCAACTATGGCTTTATCTAGGCCACTGATAAAAATATTAAACACACAGGAACAAGCACAGATCCATACAGTTACTCCACTAGAAACCTTCTGTCATGAGGACAATGAATTATTAACAACTTCTCTCTGCATCTAGCATCCAACCAGTGCTGAAGCTATCTGATTGTATCACTGCCTAATTTATATCTTTCCATCTTCTTGATAAGAATAATGTGAGGATATTCTATTAAAAACTTTACTAAAATATATTTAAACTACATCCACAACATCACTCTCATCTACTAGTTTAGTAATTTTGTCAAAAAAGGAAATAAGTGAAATCTGGTGTGACCTCTTTTTGAAACCATGTTGCCTCTTTATAATCAATTTTTCCCTTTCTAGTTTCCCTTTCAACCATCTCTTTAATGATCCATTCTGGAATTTTCCCAGGGAATTGAAGTTAAGCAGACTCTGTTCTCTTTCCTTTTAAGAAAATCAGAACACTTCCCCTTCTCTATCTTGTAGCTCTCCCATTATCCATCTTTCAACCAAATTTAGTATGGTATTTCATTAAATTTCATCAAATTAGTCATATTTCACTGTTTGAGAAATCTTGAACTTCTTTTGTAGGGAGTCTGACAGCAAGAATATCTCTGTTAGTGTCTTAGCAATCACATCTGCCAGTTCTTTCAGGACCAGAAAATGTAGTTCACCTGGGCCAGGAGACTCGAATTCATCAAAGGAAGTTAGGTGCTCTCTTGCTTTCTCCTTACTTATCTCGGATACCAACTCCCTGTCAGTCTTGTTTGTTCTGTCATTTCCAGGGTAAACGTGCTTCTCCTTTGCCGAGAAAACAGAAACAAAATCAGAATTAAGCTGCTCTGCCTTTTCTCTGCTGTCAGTTATCACTGCCCAAAGTGTCACAAAGGTCATCTTTCACCCTCCTTTTTACCCCCCTAGTATGGCAAAAACAAACAAAAACCACTTTTGTTTGTTCTTAGCCTCTCTTGCTGACCTGACCTCATTCTGTGGTTTAGCATTTCTTGCACAATTTTTATGAGACTGTGCGATACTCATCATATTAATCTTCTGGTATTTGGTCTTGTTTCCAACTTCTGTACATTTCCTTTTAAAATCTAAGTTGGTTGGTACATCCACATGGGTTTCTTTAGATAATTCCCACTTTACTTCTTCATTGGAAGCTTCCTTTTTTGTCTTCAAAATTTCTTTCTCGAGCATCTCCTATCTCTCCTGATATTTTATTCTATGAATTCCTACCTACCATTTTCTGAACTGAACTGAACATTCTCTGATCTCTTTGGAAATCTATTTTCCCCAAATTTAGTATTTAGACCATACTCAGATTTCCTCTCTATCACTATCTAGAGCAGAGAGGTCCTTTCCTCCTAGGGTTCTCAAATTTCCATCCCAGCAACCAGTTCCTCCCTATCAGTAAGAAACAAATCCAAAATAACATTTCTCCTTTTTACTTCCTCCACCTTTTGAAGGATGAAATGATCACAAAGACAAGTCAAGAAGTTATTACCTTCTCTACTATTGGTAGAGTTCTAACAAACATCTGGATAATTGAGGTTTTCCATCACTACTATATCATACTTCTGTGCCAAACTTGTGATTTCTTTCTCACACTTCCCATCAATTTTTTTTTCTTTCCGTCTAGGTGATCTGTAGTATATTCCAATGGCAAAATCATTGTTCCTCCCTCCTTAACCTATAACCCAAATGATCTTCATCCCATTGCTCCCTTCTTGTTCCTAGAGTTACCCAAAGTCACAATCTAGTTTTAATAAAGTATAAATTAGAATCTATGTGTCCTGATTCCAAGCCTAGTGCTCTTTCCAATACGTCAGTGCCTCCAAAAGGATTCACTGTGAAGTTTCTCAGTTCAATGACATTTATTAAGCACTTGATTTGTACTAGGCACTAAAAATACAAAGAAAAGAACATGACAATCTCTTCCTCGCAGAAGTTTGCAACACACAACAGGTGAAGAGATAAATAAATAAGCAGTAATTTGAAGGATGTGAGACCTATAGTAGAGATGGGTTGGGGTGGGGTATAGATTAGGAAATCTTCAAGGAAGATGCAGTACTTGAGCTGAGCCTGAAAGTTAAGGATTCTGAAAGGGGAAGATGAGGAAGTAGGGCCTTCCAGTCATGGGGAACAGCTTGTGAAAATGCACAAAAGTGGAAGATGGCCTAGTTGATACATTTGGCGAATAGTGTGATCTGTCCAGCTTAGCTAGAATGGCCTGACTACGTGAAAGCAAATGGTGTGAAACAAAGGTAGAAAGTTGTACGTTGGAGACATATTGAAGAGGGCCTTTTAAATGCCAGGCCAAGGAGTCTATCTTTTATGCAAGAGGCCAGACAGACCCACTGATGGTTTTTGAGCAGAGGAGTGATGTGGTCAGCTTATTTTGTTCACTGTGTGCAACACAAATTTGAGAAGGGAGGGGTTGCAGGCAGGGAGTTCAATTAGGAGGACATCATAATAGTCTAGGTAAGACATGAGAATGACCTGAAATAGAGTGGTGGCTATATGAGTAGAGAGAAGGGCATAGACATGAGAGCTGTTACAGAGGAAGAATCGAAAATACTTGCCAACTAATTGGATTTTGGGATGAGGGAGAAGGAGAAAAGAGTCAAGGATAACTGCAAGGTTACAAAATTGATTGATTGGAAAGGGTATCTAAAATAATCAGGGTAGGTGGGAACAAGCATTTTTAATTACCTGTTATGTGCCAGGCATTGTGCTAAGTGCTTTATAAATATTATTTCTAAATTTTCTTAGTTCACTTAAGAACATCTGACTTACAAAAATGCTATTTACACACCACTTTTTGCAAACATAAAATCAGGTATACCTATACCTATATAAAGACAGGTTCTGCTGTCAAGAAGTTTTGTATCTGAAAATAAAAAAGGTACATACAGACAGGATATGATGTTTTAAAAAAGACTCCCTTTGTTCACCAGTGGTCATTTCTCACTTCAACCAATCAATCAATAAAAATTCATTAAACGCCTACTATGTGCCAGGTGCTATGCTAAGTGTCTTCTCTATTCAAGGGAAGAAATTCTTTTTAACTTTGTTCTTGGGGTATAGCTTTGCCCTTTACAATTCATGTCCCCTGTTCCATAATAAATAATTGAAGAATAACATGCCTTTTTAAAAAGGGATAGCTAAGATATTATCTTTAAAAAAAAATGTAGGTACACATTGACTAGGGGAACAGCTGAACAAATTACGGCATAAGAATATAATGTAATATTATTATGGTATATATAAAAGACAAAGAGATGAAGAATTCAGAGAAATTAGGAAGACTTATAGGGACTGATGCAAAGTCAATATAACTAAAGGAAAAATATACACAATGATCATATCAATATAAAAAAGTAATATTTGATGACATGAGACCTCAGATCAATGCAATAAACATTTCTGAGTCCAGAGAACAGATTATGACACATACCTCCCCTCCTCTTGGTAGAGAAGTGGTCAAATATAAATGCACAAAAAAGTACTGAATAACCACATTTCCTACCAAATGAAAAATCTTGGGGGTACAAACTCCATAGAGGTAGACAAATTATTAATTTATCAATTAAGTTAACAAGTCTAGCCTCATCCAATTTAATCTATCAATCCAATTCTATTAGATAAACATGCATTAATTCTTCTCTGCTTTACCTTCAAGTTTTCTCAATCTCCAATAATTGAGGAAACAAAGCCTTTTCTAGTTGTTATTGGGCACAACCCCTAATTCTGGCACAAACTGCAGTTCTTCTTTTCCTGATACCACAAGCCCATTGCTCTAACGCAATTTGGTTCCCATGGTCACAAATCTCTTGAAACAAACTGTAAACTTTTGACCTAAGTCAGCTTTCATTAGTTGCAGCTGCTGTTCACTGAACTTTCCCCTCAGTTCTTACACTGATGCTGCTGTTTTTCCTTTCACACTTCCCCCTACCTTACCTTTAGTAACAAGCCTTCTGTTCAGTTTCACCCAATATGGATTTTTACTTACAGACCAACTGCATTTTTGAGAACATAAATCCATTTACTTATTGAAGTCAGTTCTTGTCTAGTACAAAGGCAGGTTACAATAATGATCTTTATGTAATTTGGGAGATAAGTTGTTCATCACATAGAGTCACCAATAACTTGTGCTCCAGCTTTTGTATCATCTGCCCATCTATTTCCCATGGATACTTTGTCATTTCTCTGATCTTTCTTCAACATTTTATGGCTCACTATTCCCTTATATTTTCAGGACTAGTTCCTCTTCATCTTACCTCCTGGAATTGTGAACAGGGGCTACTTCAGCATTTCTCTCTGTAAATTATTAAAAACAACACCACCACCACCAAAACCAAAACCATAACTTTTGTGACAGTCAGAATACTCACTTGGAAGCCTGAATCCACTCTTCATACAGTTCAAAGGTCATGAGAGGTTCTGGCAACTCTCTGAGATAAGACTTTAGAGCTCCTGGACATGAACAAATTATTTACCATCATCAATTATGTCTAGAAAGAGGAAGGCATAAGTGGTTGTTTATATAAATCTAGAAGTTGGCTCTCAGAAGGCTTGGATTAAGAACACTGAGTATAGTACTTGGGCATTACATTGAGAGTGGATGCCTGCTGCTTCTCTTTCACAATCATTCTTGGACAAGACATGCTGGACAAAACAAAGAACTGATTTTTTTTGGTCTTGATCCTTTGTCGTGGTTTGACTTGGAACTGGGTACATTACCCTTGGATATCTCAAAGGCATGATGGGAATTCATTGGTTTTATTGTCCCAGACACACCTACCATAAAGGTCTACTCAGTCCCTTTCCTGAAAATCCCTGTCTAACTCAGCCACATGACAACCAGGTAACTCCACTACCTGCAATGGCATGAGGGTCAGCTGAGTATTCCTGCACATCCAGTACACAGCAGTCCAGAGCAGCTTTCAGCTTTTTCAGTTTAGAAGCAGAGGGAGCCACTCTAAAAAGGCCCTGCCAGAAAGACAGAAAGAAAGTAAAAGTATTAATAGGAGCATATCATGCAGATCAGAAGCTGAAAGAAAAGTCATACCACACAAACTCTCAGACTTCTTTTCATAGAAAGTTTATATTAAAGGAAAATGTTATTCTGGAAGTTTGTGAAGTTGGAAAATAAAGCGTGAGTTATAGTGACTGTCAGCCAAACTTTGTACTCTCAGGGTAGGGATAGATACATGATAATTTTAGGAAGACAGCCCTCTTTGTACCCAGGATATCTGTTCTAAATCTGTTTTCTATATCTTACTGATACCCTCTGACCCTTAGAGTGTGAGCTAGAGCACATCCAAGAGACCCACAGAATGGAGAAGACAATTAGAAGGGAGTTGAGTGTGAAGGAGTGGAGCGTCAATTAAGGAGAGAATTGGAGAACAGCCTTCAAAGCAAGTTAAGAGCTGGAAAGGAGGTTGGTTAAGTATCTTTTGGATACCAATTCACTCTATTCCCCTTTTTGTTCTGTAATGCTAGGGAACCAACTCTGTTTAGTCTTGTAAGGAAGAGAGTTAGGTCTTCTTTATTACACTCATGGAAGTGCCAAATTCACATCTCTTGGGAGTGAATAAAGATGGCAATGATCTCTCTGTTCACCTTGACTTCTCTGCTAGGTATGACATTGTTAACCAGCTCCCCTTAAAATTCTCTCCTCCTTTAGCTTCCAAACACTGTACTAGCCTGCTTCTCAACCTGTCTTTCTAACTGTACCTTTTTTGTTTACTTCAAATGCTCCTCTCTTACCACCTATCTCCTAAAAAATGTGTGTTACTCAAGGTCCAGTCCTTGGACTTCTGGTCTTCTCTCTTTATATGTATATGTCTTTTTAGAGTATATGTCCTATATATACTATGTGCTGGAAAAAACTAGACTGGTCTGATTGGTCTCAGGGAAGAGAATTAGGAGCAATTGTTGGAAGCTAGAGGCAACTTTAAGTTTGATGGAAAAAAATTCTTAATTAGAACTACTGAGAAGTGAAATGATTTGGATCATGATATTATAAGTTTTTTCTTACTTGAAGTATTTAAACAAAGGATTATTGACCACTTGCCAGTATCACTGCTGAGGTGATTTCTGTTCATTTATGGGTTGGATTAAATGGCTTCTGAGGTTTCTTACAATTCTGAGATTCTGTGATCTTGAGTTTGAGACGCCACTAGGCCATTCAGGAGGAAGTTGTTGATGCAGGACAGGAGTTCAGGAGAAAAGTTTAAAACAGGGTATATAAATTTGATAGTCATCTACATGGAGATGATGAAACAACTCATGGAAGCAGATTAGTGACAGAAATCATGTAAGACAAGAAAAAAGGGACCAGGATAGAACTTGCAGAAGATGGATGATGATCAAGTAAAACTGAGGAGCAGTAAGACAGAGAGGCAAGAACAAGGAGAGGGCAGCATGGAGGAAACCAAGTTAGGAGAGTATGCTAGAATGGAGATGGCTAATTCAATTAAACTCAGTAAGCCTTTATTGAGTTTCTATATGTTAGGTTCTGCGGATACACAAAACACAAATAAAACCTTTCCTGCCCTCTGCTGAGCCAACATAAAAGGTTCCAGAAAGGTCAAAAGAAGATGAGGACTGAGAAAAAAGTCATTGAGTTTAGCAGTAAAGAGGTAACACTGGATAGTAGTGGAGTCAGAAGACAGATTGCAAGAGACTGAGAAGTAAGTGAGAAGTGTGGTTGTAAATTCATGAATACAGATAATCTTTTCTAAGTTTGGCTATAAAAGAAAATAAGTTATGGGATGTTGAAATTAAGTGAAGGTTTGTTAAGGATAAGGAGATTAGGGCACATTTGTATGTAGAAGAAAAAAAATTAATAGTTAAAAGAGACTGGGTCACATGAGGAAAAATATAGAAGGTTAGACATTTTCACTGATCCCTATGATCTCTCAAACTTCTTCAAAATAGAAATAAAGCAACTTCAGCTGACTACATCCAGAATCTTAAAGGTTAAAAATAATAACAACCAAAAATTTCTGAGCTCATACTTACTGACCCTAAGGTCACTCAGCACCTGCCCCCACCCCATGCTACTATCAACAAGGCTGTCTGCCCTGGCTGGCTCAAGCACACAAAAAGGACTTACATACAACAAAACTCACCCCTACATCCTCCTCCCTCTTTCCAGTGCTGTGGAGACTCCAGCCCTATGATATGGAAGTTTGTTTGGACTGTAACAACCAGCTTGGCCATAGTCATTTAGGAAAAAAGCCTGCTGGGGGCTGCAATACCATAGCACCAGCACTGTAAAACCAGTGGTGGTGAAGATAGCATTGTAAAGTTCTGAACTGCTGGTGCCAAGCCAAAGAATTAAGGAACAAATGGAATGGGACAGGCCACCAGGGTGTGTGTGTATGTGTGTCTGTGTGCATGCACAGGCACTCCACCAAAACTGGAAAAGTGCACAGCACCTAGCTGGGGCCAGATGTGACCACCCAAAAGTCACCTGAGGCAGAGACCTAGTCTGTTGAACCATAAATTACCCAGCATGGGAGAAGGCTGTAACATTTTGAGATCCTGCCCCTAAGGAAACCACAATTAGAAAGGAGGGAGTTAGAAAGTGAATGACAGTGAAAATAAGGGAACCAAAAAAGACGGAAATTACCAAAGATTTCAGGTAGAAGAAAACTCAAATATTGAATATAAACAGATAAGATCAACAAGAAAAACAATATCACCAGAAAGAAATATAGCCTCCAGATCTAGTAAATGAGTTTAGGCATCTATGGATAAATACTGCAAAATAAAGGAAAATGCTTCAACATTTTATGTGACAGAGGACACTATGGAATGTGAAGAGAACATGGAATCACAATACATTGTTCCCAAGTAATTCAAAACAGGAATGAGAACTATGAGAACATAATTTATGTCCTGCACAGCAAAAATAATGAGAAGAATAGAAAATTTTGGGATCTGCAAAGGCAGGTCTCACCAAAGAAATAAAAGAGAGGACAATATTTTGGGAAGGCAAATACTCACAAGTGAAGTGAAATCTATGAGAAGCAAAAAAACATTTAAAAATTATCCTCACTATACAAGTAAACATACCAATCTTGAATATATGATAAGAAGAGACAACCTATGGATCATACAGTGCCCAGAACATGGCAGTACAAAAAATCTTAACACCACAATGCAGGAAATAATAGAAGAGAAGTGCCCAGAACTTCTGAACATAGAAAATGAAATTTCAATTGAAAGAATTTACAGATTATCTCTAGAAAAAAAACAAAAACCAAAAAAAAACCCCAATGATACAAACTCTAGGACACATGATGGTTATATTTAACAATTCAATTCACCAGCAACATGTTCTACAAATGATAAGGCAAAAGACCTTCAAATACAAAGGGAAGGACATTTAAATAAATGCAAGATTATTCTGCACCCACTAGAAAACATAGAGGGGAATGGAAGAGCAATAGAGCTCAGGTTGTAGCCCAGGATGACCTACCTGCATATCTGAGCTTAACCATGCAGGATAAAAGATGGATATTCAATAATAAAGAAGAATTTGAAACATTTTTGGAAAGAAAACCAAATTGAATAGATTATTTGCTTCTTGAACATTCCAAACAACAGAAAAACAGGAGGAATGAATGAAGAGCCAAATAAGATACTTCTTCTTAAATGTACACAAGGAGAGAAAAGTGAAGGTAGAATTCTGTTAGAAGTAATGGTGAAGAGACAGATGGTGAGGGGAAGGGGGGGGACACAGCATTATGGACAGAACCTGGTGATACCCTGCCAGCAAGTGAATCAGAGTGTGTGTGTGTGTGTGTGTGTATGAAAGACAAAGACAGAGAGGGACAGAGACATAGAGAGAGACAGAGACAGAGAAGGATAGGAGAGAGAGAGAGAGAGGAAAAGAGGGGGAGAGAGAAAGAGAGAGAGAGAAAGAGGAAGAGAGAGAAAGAGAGAGAGGGAGAGAAGAAGAGAGAGAGACTATATTACAATATGGGAGGGTAGAGTGAAAAGAACAAGGGGATAAAAAGAGTGTGTGATACACTGTGATTAAATGAAAGGCTAGCAATGATTGGAAGGCAATATTGGTGGTTTCAGAAAGAGAAGACTATGTATTGGAAGTGGGTGAGAAGAAGAGGGAAAGGAATCTAAAGAGAAAAAATGAAAGAGGCCTTACTTTGGTGGTGGGAGGGGTTTCCATTGGTGAATTCTCCTATGAGTGGGGAGAAAAGGTCTATGAAGGGTGATGGGGACCCTATACTGGGTGTGGCCTAGAAGATTTGTTGCTTGAAAGTCTATTTGTCCTGCCTTGGGAGGGGGGAGTTGGGACCCCTGTGGACAACTGGCACCCAGAGGAGTGGGAGAACATAGAGAAGAAATTTCAAAGTAAAAGTGCAAAAAAGGCAACCAGCAATGGTTATAGATCAGTGGTGGACTGCAAAATCAGGCATGTGGTGGGAGAGGGGCCCTACCATGGGGCAGTGTCCTCTCTGAGATCTGTAATAATTGGCATTGTTCTATGAGGCACAATCAGAAAGGGGATACATGGAAAGCTCTACACGGAAATGTCAGAAAAAGCCTAGAAAGAATACCTTCAAAACTTTGATGGCAAGGTAAATATACAGAAAAGAGAAAGACCAGATAATTATAGGGGTCAGAAAATGCAGGTCTAGAGTAGACAGAAAAAGATGTTTAGTGAATAGTGAGAAAATCATTTTTGGAAAGAGGTGCCAAAAATAAAAAAAGAATTTAAAACACTAATGAACAGGACTAGCTAAAGGGGAGGAGAGGAAGAGAGAATCTACTTGACTAACTTAGAAGAAGAGGGAAGAAATATATGACTAAATAAAAATAGGAGAGAAAAAGGAACTAATAAAAAAATCCCTAAAGGAAGTGAAATGAGAAGAGGGGATCAAGAATAAGGGAAAGAAAACCAATGGAAACAGGACCATTTTTAAAAAAGTAAAGTAACTGAAGAAATATAACAC